AATGTATCAGAAAAATATGTTAGGCTCGTCAAGACGTGGAAGGAGCGCAGACTCAAGTTAAGAGTAGTGTGGACACTACAGAAGGGTTCTTCGTTAATGTCGGTTTGAATCAGGGATCGGTCCTTAGCCCTTATTTGTTTGACCTAATAATGGACGTGTTGATGTGTGGCGTGCAGCGTGAGGCTCCGTGGAGTATGCTGTTTGCGGATGATAGTGTGCTGTGTGAACTTTCCCAAACCAAGGCTGAGAAGTAACTGGATGGTTGGAGAAAAGTTTTGGAAAAAAGGAGCGTGAAGATTAGCAGAACTAAAACAGCTTATATGACTCTGAATGGTAGAGACGAATGTAATACTAAAATCCCAAATGTGCCGCTTTCTTTTCTTCCGAGTTTTTAGTATCTTGGGACATTTGTCGAGATGGGAGGAGGATTGAACCCGGAGGTGCAGCATAGAATTCAATGTGGATGGATGAACTAGAGGAAGCTGAGCGGTGTGTTATGCGACAAAAAAGTTAGCTGCAATATGAAAGGAAAATTGTATAAATCAGTTGTTAGACCAGCAATGTTATATGGTGCTGAGACATGGGCAATAACAAGAGCCCAAGACAGAAAGATGGAGGTGGTGGAGATGAGAATGTTGAGATGGATGTGTGGAGTGTCGAGGAATAATAGAATAAGGAATGATTTTATTAGAGGTTCTGTTAATGTAGGCTTCTTGAGCAAAAAGATGCAAGAATGTAGGTTGAGGTGCTTTGGCCACGTAGAACGAAGAGGTGACGATTATGTTGGAAAGAAGATTGGAAAACTGGTAGTAAAAGGAAAGAGGAAAAGAGAAAGACCAAAGACGCGTTGGAAAGATAAGGTGGAGAAAACTTGAACCAGATGGGACTTAAGAGAGAAGAAGCCTTTGATAGTGAGAAATGGAAAAAACGTATTAGAGAAGGAAACGCCGACTCCATATAAACATGGGAAAAGGCGAAAATAAAGAAGAAGAAGAAGAAGTGTGAGAATCTGAATTTGAGATTTATTTATTTTTATAAATTATAAAATTCGATGTAATATTTTGTCACTAAAATTGTACACTTTACAAATTTTGAGGGAAATTAATTAAAGGAAAACAAGGAAATACAGTTTCTTTTCCCACCAATTTAATTCTTTATAAAAGCTTATCACATCCTACGACTAAAGTTCGATCTACAATAATTTCATCTTGCTCAGATGACAGAGTTCTGCTCCTGATTGGAGAATATTTTTCTGTATAAAAAGGGTTATACGCGCCAAATTCCGGTCGGTGTAATGAATTCCAATTATCCATCAACACATATATTTTTCTGCCTGGTCTCCCCTTGAATTTTCAACTTCCGCCTACATAAGTTCAAGACTCAAGTATCATAGAGATATATTATTAAATATTATGGTAAACTCTCTCTCAATATAAATTAATATGATTATAGTTAGATAGGTTAATGACCTCTATATTATTGTATTGTATTCAGTTGTATTCTTAATTTTATTTAATTATTAAATATATTTATACTTATTATTAATTAAGTTGGAAGTAAATTCTCGTACCTCCTATCGAACTTCCTCGCGATCTCCTCCAATCATAGTATTTATCCCCTTTCTTTTTAAATTGTATTATAATCTTAATATCGCGAGTCAGAACGCGAATATATTACCCTATTTTGTGTTAGTCCTGACTAGACTAAGATTTCACTATCTTTAGTCTTAAATTTTCTATAATAAATCACCAAACGATCGCCTAAATATCGGACGATAATATGGCTATTTAAATGATTGGTATAAAGTAATTTGACACTAGAGGTAAACGTTAGGCGCCATCTGTTAAATAAATTAATAATTATAATTAAATAAATCAATTATTAAATAAATTTAGAATCTGGAATAAAAGAACTGGCTCGAACTCGAACCGGACGGGGCTCGAACCCGCTTCTTTTATTCCAGAAAGTTCTAAATTTATTTAATAATTTATTTATTTAATTATAATTATTAATTTATTTAACAGATGGCGCCTAACGTTTACCTCTAGTGTCAAATTACTTTATACCAATCATTTAAATAGCCATATTATCGTCCGATATTTAGGCGATCGTTTGGTGATTTATTATAGAAAATTTAAGACTAAAGATAGTGAAATCTTAGTCTAGTCAGGACTAACACAAAATAGGGTNCGCATTCTTAATAAAATACAATTATTTTTGAATATTCTTTACTTAAATAATTATAATTAATTTAATTTTAAATGCAACGTGACACATTCACAAATAAGTTTTATAATTGTACGATAACTTATAGGGAGACAATTTATATATATTATAATGAATAGCTGATATATTAATGAAGTAAAAACTGTAAAAAAAGTATTAAAATATTTTAGATCCATATAAGAGTAATAAGTATACGCAATGAAAGATGAACGCTATCTCAAATCCGATATATTGTATTTAGTGTGATTTCCGACACTACTGTTTATCCTTTTTACCCTGTTCTATGGGAAAAGCATAACATCAAAACTCTAGACAGAAAAGCTAGAATTAGAGGCAAACCGAAAACTGCAAAACTTGGGTTAATTGTTCGTTTGTTGCTGCCGTAGGTTTTTTATAAAACAAAGGGAAAAAAAAATAAATAGTAATGTCAGTAACAACACTGAGTACAATACATCGGGGTAATAAGTATGATGCAGTGACTTTAAATATACATTTTTACATCGATTTTATTGCATTAAAAATTAAAAATATTCTGCAAATACACCCATCACTTTCATTTAAAGACCGGTGACATAATTCTAGAGTTTTATATTTTCTATGTATTATTAACCATTTATTGTAACCTCGGTTGATTATTTTCATTTATACCTACCTTAATCATAATAATTTTTCTCTGTAAAATATAATTTTTGATATTACAACTATAGAAAAAGTAATTTATTATACTAAAATGAGTCGTATTTTTGGAAACACGTTTATGTTCGTTATATTTTTATGATGCATTTCCGTCTTGAAACCTAAAATGCTTAGAAATTTGCAAATTAAATAATATATGATTATTTGTTAGTTTTTTAATCAATCTTTTAATTTTAAAATGCGTTTTACATTTAAAATGTTTGGTAAGAAAACAAATATTTAATTACAAAACTTAACCAAGACATATAGACATTTTAATTTTAATACTTTTAATAAGATTACAAATAAATGTATTTTTAAAAATAGTAAGTATTTAAATTTAATTGAATATTTTTTCATTTCTTTATTATTAATTAAATGTTTATAAAATTTTAAAACGGAATTTTAAACAAATATCTTGTGGTGACAAAACTATAGACGTTGGGTATAATCCCTTATTAATAGAATTACCAGACATTTTTTTATTTCAAATCAAAATCTTTTAATTTAACTAAACTGTTGTTGTCTTTATGCACAAATAGAACTATGTTGGATCCCATTGCTCTACATTACTTACTAAAAGGAAATTGGAGTTATTTGGACACTAGACTGACATAATGTTTTAGATAAGTGTTTTATTTTAATTTCTGATATTTTTAAATGATTAATTTATTATTATGTTATGTTTCGCTAGCAGGAAAAATAGCACGACTATTTAATTTATTTCACCATTTACGTTGCATGACAAAACCAGTTTAAAATTAGATGACGACCAAATTTATGAGAGAAATGAGAAAGATAACAGCGACATGTTTAAAATTTATTGAAGAAATTAAAAAAATTTATTGATTTCTTTTAATAAGAATTCATATCATAGACAAGAGAGGGGAAAAAAATGAGAGGAAGAGAAGTGAAGTGCGTATCAACCTGTAGATACAAACCTAAACCTAATAAATGTATAAAACAATTATCATATTCAATCACTTCGAATATTTTTAATTACGTATTAACGACGTATAATTTTTAACGTGGCATGTTTTACATATATCAGGTCAGTCCATAAGTTCGTGCGTATTCTATGACCTTGAGAAAAATCTTGTTTTGCTGTTAAAAATGCCAGTCTAATGTGATACTTTTTACACTGAGTGTTAAATTGGATCTCATTCATATAATACTGTTCAGAATTGGGAACATTTCAGTTGTTTATTTTCGTTAAAATGGAAGTAACAGATGAATATAAGAGACATGTTTTATACTTTTTATTTTTAAGTGGTGAGAATGCTACAAATGCAGCCAAAAAATTAAATACTGTTCATAATCAAACTGTAATTAGTGTAAGGACTGCGCAGAAGTGGTTTGAAAGATTTAGAAATAATGATTTTAGTGTGGAGGATAAGGCTCGTACTGGAAGACCTGTTGACTTTGATGATGATGCTCTCTCTGCACTAGTTGAAGCAGAACCATCTTTAACAGTTGATGAAATTGCGGAACGTTTAAATTCATCCCATGGAACTGTTCATAGACATCTACAACAAATCGGAAAAGTTTCAAAGCTAGGAAAATGAACACCACATGAACTGTCAATAGCTAACTGACAACAACGTCAACTGCTCAACTCAAAAGCTTCAACTGGGAAATTTTACCTCATCCACCATATTTGCCAGATATTGCTCCCAGTGATTATCATCTTTTTCGGAGTTTGTAGAATTTTTTAAAAGGGAAAACTTTTGAGGATGAGAACAATGTAAAAACGGCTATTTCTGAATATTTTAATTAAAAACCGAAATCATTTTACAAAGACGGGATTAAAAAGCTACCATCAAGATGGCAAGAAATTGTACAAAATAATGGTGAATACATTATAGATTGAAATAAAATTTAGTTTAAAAATTTTTGTTGCATTTTTGTAGATAAAAATGCGCACGAACTTATGGACTGACCTGATACATTTAGGGCTAATGTATTATCTATATAATTTAATTAGCTAGTTTATAAATTAAATAAATAAGAAAAACACGGAAAAAATATATTTAATATTTATTGATTGCTTAATTAATATATCCTTTCCGTATTTTTACCCTTTATATAAAAAACCTTACTTGATTTTGTATTTTCCTAATTTAATGCTTTTCACTTTTCCCCTTAAAGATAAAGCATAGTTTCTAAGGCATTCGTCGTGCATTGTCTTGGCGCAAATTCTTTCATAACTGATTGTTGTGTTCCTCCAGATAAAACTAATATTTCGAATTGTCTTATCCATTTTAAATAAATCATGCATTGTCGATTCGTCCAGCATAGAATCGTTGTATTTGGCAGTGGCAATAACAGCTGCATATCTTCCGAATCTAGAAGTTCTTAAAAAGTCGTAATCTTTTGAAAAATCTGATGGAAACAGCGATTCGACAACATTTCTCTCCGTTCTAGATCTGGCGTGGATTGGGGTAAAGAGATATTCTATGCTTTTGACTAATTCCAATTCTTTAAATCCAGTCGAAAGTATTAAAGATATCAGAAAGGGTATTATGGTGTACGCCAGCGGATGACATCCGATGTGATATCCAACACGAGCAAAAGTATAAGAAACAGCTCGTCTTATATAATCGCACGCCATGGCCACCTGGAATCAATATTTTTGAATTAATTGCTTTTTTAAACTTTTATGAATTTCATACAAATTTCATTTATAAAAAAGTATACTTTATTATTATAATTATATAATTGTCTAGTTTTTCATTTTTGAGTCTTTCTTCCTTTTAGGCACTAAGAGGGCCTTATTAATCGTCCGCATCGTGGGTTTGATTGCAACCACAATGGAGGCGGACGGATGACGAGGAAAAGGTTCGAGATAACCGGGACAGAGCAACCCGCGAAAAATTCCAGAGGTTTTTCGAACCACCCGTACACTGCTCCAGGTACTCCTGAAAGGAAGACTCGGCTATTCGGCTTTATATATTGCTCAAACAATCGTTTCCTGCGAAATTGCGTATATATATAGGCAAGTGCACGTGATCAATGACAGAATAAATCCTATTAACTTTATATTTACAAGCAATTTTATATATAAAATGCAACATCTTAAGAAATGAATAAAGAACTAATTTAATGACTTCGGATAAAAGTTTTTAACGAATAATGTTTTAACAATATTGTAAAGTCGAAATTATATTAAAATATATAAAATATAAGTGTACTTACACTTTATAAGAGACTATTTGCCTGGAAACGTTTGTTTCGAGCTTCACTCTAACTTAAGCTTATGAAGTTTAGTGATAAAACAGGTCTGTACGAGCTTTTATTTAAACAGGTTGCTTATTCTCAAATTTCACTTAAAATAACTCATTGCAAATGACGTTGCGTCTTGATTAAAAAAAAATTTAATTTATTAGAATGTGAAATAAAATCATTTGGCAGAACGCCATCATTTTCAACGTTATTAGGAAAAGCTTTTACTGGCGAATATTAAATTGTTAATTAAGATATGAAAATAACTCTCGTACAAACAAAACTGAAACAAGTAACTCAAATAAACAATTTTTCTTGATGATTTATAAAAATTCATTGTTACTCTGATTCGTTTAACCATTATTAATTAATTATAACAGTTCGAGGATAAAATCTGAATTTTGTGGATATGGCAAATAGGTGTTTCAATAAACATCCTCATTTTGCTCGTTATAAAACCAGAACTAGTGTTTCTAACGAATAAAATAGTATAAAATATAGAATATCTAAAGTCAAAAGGCGTTATAACAAAGATTTTGAACAATACAAACGACTAAACCGAACTGCTAAGCCGATCGGCGACTTCACATTTCCGAGCCAATCGGGTTTATAAACAATTAGCCGTATTATGTCTCCACGCCGCACAGTGTGTCCTGGGACGATTTAAGAGGACAAAAGTAAAAAAATGCATAACTGATAATGATTCTTACATATTTATGCATTAATAAAAAACATTCCAGTGAGTCAATTGCTACCGATAATTTTTAAAATACGCCCCGTGGCTTTGCTAAGCGACAAATGAAAAGCATCAGTTATATATCTGGTTGGAATCATAACGTTAGTGTCGTGTTCGGACTTATTTTGAATAGTTGTTTCGCTGGCTGTTTTAAGTGTTTTTATCCAATATTAAGATGAATAGTAATCGCCAAAGTATGTATTTTAATATGTATATTTCATTAATAATAGTCAATGAGGGGATTTTATATAAAACAATCGCAAACCCAAGGGATTTTTACACTTAATTTTAAATAAGTAGAACTTTAAAACTTCTGCATTTNTCCAGCATAGAATCGTTGTATTTGGCAGTGGCAATAACAGCTGCATATCTTCCGAATCTAGAAGTTCTTAAAAAGTCGTAATCTTTTGAAAAATCTGATGGAAACAGCGATTCGACAACATTTCTCTCCGTTCTAGATCTGGCGTGGATTGGGGTAAAGAGATATTCTATGCTTTTGACTAATTCCAATTCTTTAAATCCAGTCGAAAGTATTAAAGATATCAGAAAGGGTATTATGGTGTACGCCAGCGGATGACATCCGATGTGATATCCAACACGAGCAAAAGTATAAGAAACAGCTCGTCTTATATAATCGCACGCCATGGCCACCTGGAATCAATATTTTTGAATTAATTGCTTTTTTAAACTTTTATGAATTTCATACAAATTTCATTTATAAAAAAGTATACTTTATTATTATAATTATATAATTGTCTAGTTTTTCATTTTTGAGTCTTTCTTCCTTTTAGGCACTAAGAGGGCCTTATTAATCGTCCGCATCGTGGGTTTGATTGCAACCACAATGGAGGCGGACGGATGACGAGGAAAAGGTTCGAGATAACCGGGACAGAGCAACCCGCGAAAAATTCCAGAGGTTTTTCGAACCACCCGTACACTGCTCCAGGTACTCCTGAAAGGAAGACTCGGCTATTCGGCTTTATATATTGCTCAAACAATCGTTTCCTGCGAAATTGCGTATATATATAGGCAAGTGCACGTGATCAATGACAGAATAAATCCTATTAACTTTATATTTACAAGCAATTTTATATATAAAATGCAACATCTTAAGAAATGAATAAAGAACTAATTTAATGACTTCGGATAAAAGTTTTTAACGAATAATGTTTTAACAATATTGTAAAGTCGAAATTATATTAAAATATATAAAATATAAGTGTACTTACACTTTATAAGAGACTATTTGCCTGGAAACGTTTGTTTCGAGCTTCACTCTAACTTAAGCTTATGAAGTTTAGTGATAAAACAGGTCTGTACGAGCTTTTATTTAAACAGGTTGCTTATTCTCAAATTTCACTTAAAATAACTCATTGCAAATGACGTTGCGTCTTGATTAAAAAAAAATTTAATTTATTAGAATGTGAAATAAAATCATTTGGCAGAACGCCATCATTTTCAACGTTATTAGGAAAAGCTTTTACTGGCGAATATTAAATTGTTAATTAAGATATGAAAATAACTCTCGTACAAACAAAACTGAAACAAGTAACTCAAATAAACAATTTTTCTTGATGATTTATAAAAATTCATTGTTACTCTGATTCGTTTAACCATTATTAATTAATTATAACAGTTCGAGGATAAAATCTGAATTTTGTGGATATGGCAAATAGGTGTTTCAATAAACATCCTCATTTTGCTCGTTATAAAACCAGAACTAGTGTTTCTAACGAATAAAATAGTATAAAATATAGAATATCTAAAGTCAAAAGGCGTTATAACATAGATTTTGAACAATACAAACGACTAAACCGAACTGCTAAGCCGATCGGCGACTTCACATTTCCGAGCCAATCGGGTTTATAAACAATTAGCCGTATTATGTCTCCACGCCGCACAGTGTGTCCTGGGACGATTCAAGAGGACAAAAGTAAAAAAATGCATAACTGATAATGATTCTTACATATTTATGCATTAATAAAAAACATTCCAGTGAGTCAATTGCTACCGATAATTTTTAAAATACGCCCCGTGGCTTTGCTAAGCGACAAATGAAAAGCATCAGTTATATATCTGGTTGGAATCATAACGTTAGTGTCGTGTTCGGACTTATTTTGAATAGTTGTTTCGCTGGCTGTTTTAAGTGTTTTTATCCAATATTAAGATGAATAGTAATCGCCAAAGTATGTATTTTAATATGTATATTTCATTAATAATAGTCAATGAGGGGATTTTATATAAAACAATCGCAAACCCAAGGGATTTTTACACTTAATTTTAAATAAGTAGAACTTTAAAACTTCTGCATTTTTTTTCGTATAGCTTTATACGTTTTAATTTCATTTTCTTCGGATTTTTGAAAATTTTATAATTATGTCTAACAGATATTTGTGTGCGGAAACGCGCGGATTTTGACGTATAACCATTTTTTTTTTTTTCACAGGGCCATGGCTGGTAGTCAGTGGGAGTGAACTTTTTGAAAAACTAAGAGAAAAAAATAAAATGATAAGCGGGTCATTCGAAGTAAAAAATATTATCGTAGACTACATTAAAAAAAAGTTCAGTTTAACAAATCCTAGTCGAGTTAGTGGAAAATGAGTTACGTCGAATTACTTGTTGTTTTTCCGTTGGTTTAAGTCAAAGATGGAAGAAACGTAATCGAAATATCAAACATTTTTCAAACAAAAATCGCTTATGGCTCAATGATTAGGCAATTATCGAAAATGTCGATTTGCCACAAACTAGTGCAAGCTGTAAAACACCACAAAAACAAATAATGGGACTTCCCAAAAAGAATTTTTGGGACGTCCCATCCAGCCAAATGAACGATCTACCTAATATTAAAATGAGGCAATGCAATGAAGAAACTTTTTAATTTGGCCTATCGACTCTTCCTTGTCACATAAGATTCATGGAATGCATTCTTCGCATAGCGTATCGAATGGATATTGAAAAATGGCAAGTGCGCGAGACCGAAGAGAAAGAGTCAGTATCAACAAGAAAGAAAAATATTATTAATAGATTTAGAACGGAAACTAGTTTACTTCTGGATACTCCCAAGCAAGGTGGTGGAAACACCAACGACGGTAATTCGGCAAAATTTTTTCTTATACCACTCTTACTGCAGAGATAACCGGTGTTAAGAAGAACCTAATAGAACGATTTTCGGTTATATTAGAAGCGCTGGCATCCGGCTACGAAATCGATACGAGCAAATTCGAAATCTACACGAAGGAAACAGCGGAGTTATACATGACGCTTTTATCGTTGGTATCCCATGCCAGTCACTCTTCACAAAGTTTTAATACGCGGATCAAAAATTCGTTTCTCGTTTCAATAGGACAATTGTCCGAAGAAGTGCAAGAAACTAGACACAAGGAATTTAAAAAATTTCGTGAGAGTTATTCCCGAAAAACCTATAGAGTAAACACTAATACAGTGGTACCTCAGGATACGAAATTAATCCGTTCCGAAACTGAGATCGTATCATGAAAATGTCGTAAGGTGAATCATCTATTCCCATACGATTACATGTAAAACTAAATAATTCGTTTCAACGCGAAAAACATACTTAAATTAAAGCCAAGTAATACATTTAAAAAGATAACTTTAGTAAGAAAAACAAATGAAAAATGCGAACTAATGAAACGTCGTATGGTGAGTTTTTGTTCATATGGTGGAGCAAAAATATGTTCGAATTTCATGTCGTATCCTGAAAATTTCGTATGCTGGGGCGTTCGTAACCTGAGGTACCACTGTATAGATATTTTACATGAACTTTTAATTTCTTCAGATCCTCTCATTATAAACCTTAGATCACTTGGTATAAGAAAACTCCGTTAACCGCTAACGTTTGAAAATTACTAAAAGCACCGAGCGTGACCGTACTATAAGAGAAATCCGAATCAAACTCCGAATGTGACTCCGATATGTAAATTTTTAGTTAATACGATATCTAAGTAAAAAATTTTTATTATAAAAATGAATTGCACTAGCTTATATACTTAAGTCCTGCTAGAATCGTCCCACGGCCCACTGTGTGCCGGTTTAAAAAGCTGCAGTTTTTTTTAATTATATGAAAGAAAATACATGTTTGTAAAAAATATATATCGCAAATTAATCGAATTATAAAGATAAATATTTTTGGTTTTCGTGTTTTTGAAATTTGACATTTAATAATTATTAAATTTTGATGATATTTTAAAGTTGACAATCGTAAACTGTGATATATTTAAAAGAAAAAATAAATAACAGATCGAATCTAGCTGTAAATTTTTTCGAGAAATATCACTCATTCTTGGATTTACATTATCCCAGTAAAATTGTAAAGAAACGTTTTAAAATTCCTATTTTTAACGTTATTACTGTACTTAATTTCGATGTTTATTGACATTATTTTATACAAATCAGTGTGTTTTTTTCTTTATAAAACGAAATTTTTCGTGTCTTCTCTGTTATCATAATAAGCTGAGCGTATTAGAAATTACTATTTATTATTTTTTGATCGTTTTTTGTAAAAATTAATGCTTTTGTGTGTTTATTGTCATCTGTGCCTAAAAATCAACAAATTCCTTTTAATATTTTGTTGATTTATGTTGAAAATATGTAAAAAAAATATATAATTCGCGTCGCGTTCATTTCGTGCTTACTGTTGACACGCTCAATTTCTACTTATTGAACACTCACGTGTTTGCTGTTTGTTTCTGAATGCCATTTCGACAGAATAAAGGCTGAGTGACAGTAGAAATGAACGTCTGTTGAGTATTGTTTCTGAATTCCACCCTTACTGAGTTAAACAGAGAAGTGAGGAAGAATGTGAGGATACAGAAGAAAACACAAATAAGGTGATTTCGCAGACATCGTTTATAGTACGGAAATAATTAATCGAGTCACGCAATTTCCAACGTTTAATTTTTTCTAAAAACACGCGTTAGCAAGTTGTTTTCCTTCAAACGTATAAAAAAATTGATATATATAATTATTTGATGTACTTTTATCGTCTTTTATGTTGTACATTTTGAGTTATTCTCGCTATTTTACTAAATTTAATAAACTATATTCCGTTCTTGGAAAAATCGACCTTTATCATTCTCTCCGTGACGTTGTAAAATACGATAATTATCGTATTTGTACGATTATTTCGGGTGCCATACGATGAATAATAATGTCTGTACGATGATTTCATAAATATGCCTTACTTCGAAAACAACAGTTAATTATTGGGGAAAAAACCAATACGCAATCCTTATTTTTTATACGTATAGCATTTTCGTTGATATTTCGTGTCTTTTGTTTTTGGTCGCTACAGGTCGTCTAAATTTTCAGAATATTTAGATTGTCTACTCCGTATATTGTCGATTATAAGGCGAACCATCGTCATACTTTTCGAGATGGCTAAGTGCTATACTTTTAAACTACTGATATAATGCTCAAATTGATGCGAAAATAAAATTTGTGCAAATGAACGTTCTATTGAAATGTCTTGTACAAAATGTAATAAATTGTATCAACTGTCCAGAACTGAAACTTTTTTGGCAAAGGAGTCGCGACCACTGGAGGATTGGAGTAAATATTTTTTTACAATGGCAAAAATTTGGATAAACTAAGGTTTATGCGTATGAAATAAGTACGGTGTATAATGG